CAAATCAACCGCATGCTCATTAGGATGCAGCACCTCAGGCGATGCAGTAGGCCATTTCGAGTCGGCGCGAGTCGGCGCTGGCGTTTGGGACGCTCAAGGCGTCGCCCCGGGCGTCAGCGGTTGTCGCGCCGCGACGGCCCTCGGTGAGCAACCCCGAGCTCATCCAGCGCATGGTCGCGACGCTTCAAGCGACCGACGCGCTGCGCTCCAACAAAAGCTCGCGCACGATCGCGCTGCCCGCGTCGTCGTCGTCGTAGCCACCATTTAGCATCCATCGTGTATTGGAATCGGAGCTCTTTACATGAACTTGTACTGGATCTTCTTGTGCACTTGGCAGAGAAACTCGACGTACGACACTTCGTTCTTGGTGCGGTCCTCGACGAGCGCGGCCATGAAGCGGCCGCTGCGCCAGTCCTACGTCCGTGTTTGCTTGCTTGCGTCAGTCCATAATTTTTTACCGTCTTGGTGAGGATCTCAAGGGGCTGCATGACAGGCACCTGGGCCTGCAGGTACTGCACAATCGCACGCACTTGGTCCCGCAACGGGCCCGCGTCCGGCGCGTCGTCCACGAGGTTGACCGACTAGACATTGATGCAGTTGAAAAATTGCAACAGGGATCAAGAAAATCGTACCTGCTCGGCCGTGTCGACGTGCTCCATACCAAAGAGGTCGTGCAAAACGTGCGACGAGACCTTGGCCCCGACAAAGAGGTAGAGGAACGTCGACGAGTGCAAGAGGAAGATGCCGTACTCCTCCAGCTTCTCGGCCGTCGGCGGCAACGGCGCCGGGAGGATCATCGCGCCCTTGTCGTCCAAAGTACCGCACTGGACAGCAAAATGTTATCGATGCGGCGGTGAGGATTGTACGTACGTCTTCAGGCATGTCGTGGAGAGGGTACATCTTGGGGTACACGGCCGAGACCGCGGCTTCCACGGGCAGGTTGTTGAGGTGCGAGAGCAACGTGACGCGCTCGTCCGCGCGCACATCGATAAAGCCGCGGTTGCCCATGACGTTGTTGCGCAGCCCGCGGCTCTTGAGCGACGCCAGCGTGTAGAGCGGCAAGAGCTTGAGCGACTCGGGCAAAATGAGTTGCCCCGACGAGCTGTTGGACGCGCAGTACTTGCGGTAGTTGAACAAAACGTTGACGCAGTCGTCAATGAGTCGCTCCTTGACCGCTTGGCCGTTGCCACTAGTCGCATGTGTCAAGGTACGATGGAGAGGATGCAGTGCACCTCATGATGGACCGGTCCGTGACGACCTTGGCCGACATGCGCTGCCAGATGGCGCACGTCGCATCGAGGTCCGCGTTGCGGAAGACGTTGGTGACGAGGTTGGCCACCTAGCATTATTGTGCTGTGAGAATCGGGTTTTCGCGAAAAGCGTAAACTACCGGGAGCGCGAGGTTGTGGACGCGGACGACGCGGACGCCGTCGAGGCGCGTGTAGAGCAGGGCGGCTTGGATGTACACCTCGCCGTCAAGCTTGTCGTCGTACGCAAACGAGACGCCGACGGCGTGGTGCGCATCCATGCACGCGACACTGACCTCGTCGTCGCTCGACGCGGCGTGGCTCCCAAACACCGTCTCGACGCGGAGCCCGGCCGAGACGCGGATCTTCAAGACGGCCTCGAAACCCACGTTCTTGGCCAGCTGCTGCGAGAGAAGGTTGCCGAGGTACGCGACGTGCTCCGACTTGTCCTTCTCAAACTGCGGCAAGTAGTAGGCGCGGCCGCCCGTGAGGTCGCACACGCGCGCGACGCTACGAGGCGCGTCAGTTTGGCTGGATGAAAACCATCGAGAACGCACTCTGCGAGGTCGGCGAACGGGTTGGCCGCGCTGTAGACGTCGACGGCGATGCAGTGAGTGGCGCACTTGCGCGCGAGCTCCTCGTAGTGCGGGTTGAGCTTGGCGTTGTGCGTGTACAGCTCGACTTCTTTTGTCGTGCCATAGTGGGACGCCGGCTCTTCCTTGGTGATCTTGCCGACGCCGATGCGGGGCGGGCCCGCGTGGAAGACACTCACACGGCCTGCTTCACGGTGAAAACACACACGATAGCGTCAGTAGCACGTACCACCGCAGGCGCTAAGGGTATCGACGACGCTCGTGAGCGCCGCGCCCGACACGGCCTGGTTCTTGGTCGTCGCCGAGAAGAGCGTCGTCACCTACTCATCGAGGACGTGGCTTTTTGTCCGTCCAAAGCACGCGACCGTACGAGTTCCGAGAGCTCCGTGATCTTGTCGATCGCGTTCGGCGCGTTCAGCGCCAGGCACCACGACTGGAACGGAAGCGGCGCCGCGGGGTCGTCGATGTCGGGGCACACGCACATGGAGATGGACCCTTCCTTGTCCATGCGATAGTAATGCACCTACAAGATGATGTTGACACGTGCGGTGCGCTATCGTAAGGATCGAACCGCCGTGTCAAAGGTGACGAGACCAAACTTGGCGCGAGGGTTCTGCGCGAGCTCGGGCACGACGCGCTGGATGGCTTCGAGAACGCCCTGGACGAGGCCCGACTGGAACGCAAAGAGGGAGACGTCGAGGACAAAGACCGTGATCGGGTCTTGCGGCGGCCGCACGGCGTAGCCCTGGGGCACGACGTACTCGACCGACCCGCGCGCGAGCTCGGCGCGCTCCGTGACGTCGCGCCGGCGGCCCATCTGGTCGACACTGCAGTAGTACTCGCGCGGCGTCTCGTTGTGGAGGTTGCAGATGTTGCACACAAACTTGCGCCCGGCTTGGACAAACTTTGTGAACGAGTTGACGTACGCCCGGCAGCGCGTGCAGCGGAGCGGACCCGTCGGGCCAAAGTCGACGAGTGGCGGCGTCGACTCGCCTGGCTGAAGCGGCGCGAGCGGGCAAATGACTGCGCTCAGCGGAATGCCCACCTGCCGCAGGAGCTCGGACGACTCGGGCACGTGGTTGAGCGTCGGTCGAATGAAGCGCGGGTTGCAGCAGCCCTCGTCAATGCACACAAACGACGACGTCGCCGGCGGCGGCATCGTCATCGTGTGACCCTTGGCCACGTACGTAATCTTCTCGGCGCTCACGTTCGGACGAGGGATCTGCGTCGGGTCGATACGTTGCTGCGGCGCCGGCGCCGTGCGGGGCTGCGCAGGCTGCTGGGGTGGGTACCCCGGTTGGCCCGGTTGCTGGGGTGGGTACCCCAGTTGACCTGGTTGCTGCGGTGGATACCCCGGCTGGCCTGGTTGCTGCGGTGGATACCCCGGCTGGCCTGGTTGCTGCGGTGGGTACCCCGGCTGACCCTGCGGGTAGCCAGGCTGGGGAGGTCCATGCTGCTGAGGTGGGTACCCTTGCAGAGGTTGCTGACTCGGAGGCATCTGAGGAGGGTGGTGCATTCCCGGAGGGCCTTGTGCGTACGGACCACGAGGCATTGCACCTTGCGTCGGTGGACCTATGCCCGCAGGAATGTTGATACAGATGCAATAGAGAGCACATGCTAGTCATACCCTGCGCCTGATGAAACGGAGGACCGGGAGTAAACTGCGGGGCGCCACGCGGTGGCTGCATTGCGGCGCCTATATCGCATGGTTTGGACGGATTGGCCGAGATAGAAAAGCCAACCGTTCGACGACGGCGGACCCCGCGGAGCAAAGCCCTGAGGCGCAGCATGCATGGGTGCAGCCGGAGGCCCGTTGCTAGGAAGGCCGTTCGGGGGCATGCGACCTACAAGCCGTAGCGATGATCTTCGCGAGTCTCCGAATCACAACGGTACCTGCAGACGGAGGGCCGTACGAGCCGGGCGCATTACCCGAAGGCGGACCAAACGTGTTCGGCGCAGCACTTGGCGGCTGACCAAACGGCTGGCTCGGCGGTCCACGCGGGTTGAAGCCGCCACTGCTCGGCGGACCAAAGTTGCCGCCCGGCGCCCCTTGCGAGGGTGGGCCTGTTCCTGCAGTGTTACGATATACTGCGCTTGGTTTGACTCGCTACCTTGTGCATATGGCCCACGCGGAGGCTCTAGAACATTGCAGCATGAGCCATCGCGTGCCACGTAAGAAGCCACGTACGTTGAAATGGAGCCGATTGCGACGGCGGGCCTACAGGCGCCTGAGACTCTAGGAGCGCAAGCAGCATGTCTACCTGAGAAGGGCGCGCCTCCGCGCGGGAAGTTGCCACCTACGGCGCTTGAGCCTCGGCGAGCGTGTCGGCGTCGTACCTGGATGGGCCATCACGGTCGTTCACACGCTATGAGGGCAATATATTGACGTTGGCCCCTCACGGCTTGGCTGTCGTGTTCTCATTGGTCAAAATGATAACCTCCGTAATTGCATTTTTAATTATCTTCCACAGGCTTCTTAATTTGTTAGAACCACACTGAGCACTGTTACAATATCCGGTATGCGGTATCCGAAAATCGGTGGATCTTGATCGACAGTTGAGAGCAGGGCGACACCGCCACAACGTGCTGGCTCGTCAATGGATTGTGTGCGTGAGGCTCGGGTTTGCCCCATGAACTGGCTGGGAGGATATTTTTTGGTGAATGACGTCGATGTGTCACGAGCATCGCCTAAATCTTCTCGCTGACCTCAAGCTACTGCTGAAATTCAGTGGAGCGTTGTACGTAGAGCAGGCAACTCATCGACCATGCTTGAGATCAAGACGAACACTCAGCGCGTAGCTACGGCTGGCGTCACTGGCAGCAAATAATTGAACTCGGCTGCACCCGATCGCCCTATGTGCACAAGGCATTTTCAATGAAGTCGCACCCACCAGCGTGCGTGTCCATTCCTGACGTGACTATTGAGGACCACGATGCGCTTCTCGACTTTGCCCACCACGCGCTCAGCGACCTCATTTTGAGTGCCCGCTTGGAGAGCAATAGCCGCCTGCCATGGGCGCCGCTGGCGTCGTACCCGTCCCAGACAAAAGTGTACACAGCAAACGACCCTCTGGTGCGGGACGCGTTCTTCGCGGGCGAAACCACACTCGAGATGGCGCTCGAGGACGCGATTGCGTTCTTCCGAGTCGACGAGAGAGCCGAGTACCTCGACCACGCGCGCTTGTTGGCGCGCAAGGCGTCGAACGCGTGCATATTGAGCCCGCTGAGCAGCGGCAGCTGCGACGACCCTTACCACTATGTCGGGTTGCACTGGCTCGCGCTGCCACTGTCGTCGTCGAGCCTCTTTCACCAGCGCGATATCTGCTACCTTGAAGCCCACGACGCTTTCCACCTGCATGGCGCGCGCGGCTGGGCGTGTGTCGCGTCGTCCGTGCGTCTGCCTTGGTTTCCGTGCCTCGAGATGAGTCACCAGTTGCTCCGTGCTACAATGCGCCGGTCGGGCTACGTGCTCACAGAGCTCGGTCCAACGACGACCCGCGTCGTGCACGTCGTCAACGTCGACATGGGCGGACACATACCGTCGGTGCTCGTGGCCAAGATGCTCAAGGCGCAGGCCGCGTCCGTGGCGCAGCTCGCGCACCGCATCCGGACGCGGGGTACGACGATCGTGTCGCCACCATCGACGCACTGCGCGTCGTGTCATGCCAAGTTCCACTGCCTCAAGACCAAGGTCGAGTGCCATCGGTGCGGCGACATGGTCTGCAAGCGCTGCATTCTCGTCAACGCCCAGTGCAAGAACTGCTGCTACGGCCACCCTGACCGCGTACGGGCGTCAACGTCGCCGGACAACAAGGTCGGGCACCGCCAAACGAGCTCATCGACGGTTATCGCCGAGGAAGACAACGAGGGGAGTGACGACGACCTGTCTGCGCTCCGAGTTGGCGCGGAGGCGCAACCACTGCGACGCACGGTCGTCGAAGGTCATCAATTCGACTGCCACGTCAGTGTCGTATCCGGATACTCTATCTAATTATAATGCATGTGATTCGAAAGCAGAGGTTTATCCAGCAGTAGCAGAAAGGATGGACAAGCCGCCGGCCAGCGACGACGCGCCGCTCGACATCTCGTGCGCCCAATGCTTGGACGATGCGTTCAAGTGCATCAGTACGTGGCCGCGATGGTAGGCTGACGTCGTTGGCTAATGCTGTACGTCTAGCCGTCGGCTACCAAATGACGTACTTCTACCGCCACGGTGAAGTGGACTCGTGCAATGGCCGCTGGACCGACATCCTGCGCTGCTTCCGCATCAAGACGATGAAGCCCACCGACGCCAAAGAGTACCTGAAAGGATCCAACATCGATCCGGAGCGTGAGCCCCATGTCGCGTCCGTCTGGAACCTCAAGCAGCGCCCGGGCTGGTAGTGTAGCCTCGCTGAAGCAAGTTGCGCACTGCTCCTGCACGACACTGCGACACTTAAACAACATCTAGACCGTTGCTTTACATCGCGCCCGTGTTCATACCTTCAAGCTGGCAGATCTTGGCCCTTGTGGGTCGTGCTGGAAGGTTGACGTTGCACGACGAGTGGCGGGGCCTCGATGGTGTCCGTTGAGAAAGCCGAGTAGCCCGCGTCGATAAGCAATGGCCCAATACTGCACAGTGAGCTTGTTGAGCGCGATCGGAGCCCCAGACTCACAGGATGGTGCTATGTCCATAAAGTTCAAGCTAGAGCGTCATATCGCTTGTTGTGGTCGATGATTCGTTGCGCTCAAGACTCTGCGCACTAGGCTTTTTCTACGTTTGCTAGCGACGAGAAGCACTGCTCTGGCGACAGCTTTGGGTGGCGAGACTCGGCGTGCGTGACGAGGACGGGCGGGCGGCTCGTGACGGAGAACGACTGGCGGCATACGCTGCAGATGTAAGCCTCGGCGTCCGCGGCCGACTTGGCCTTGGTCTCGGACGACACGATCGAGCCTTTCTTTCCCGCGGCCTTGCGCTCCTTGTCCTTCTTCTTGAGCTGCATCTGCAGCTTGCTCATCGACATGGTCGTCGCTTCGGGCCTTCCTTTCCGCACTGGCCTCTGCCCAGCGAGATCACGATTGGTGGGTTGCCAGAGCTGCCGGTGCTTGTATTGGCCAAATATTTGCTGCGTTGTGATTCGCTACCATTTGCGCCAATCCACAACCGCCGAGGATACCATCCCAACCGACCGGCCGATGGAGTCGGAGTCGTCGAACCAGACGCCGTCCATGGACAAGCCTCCAGCTGCAGCCGGGCGTCGGTCGTCCGAGCGCAAGGCGTCGGCAATCGCCGAGGCGCGGCAGTTGTTTGAGGCCCGACACCGAGCTGTCCAGGCGCAGACCGTCTACCTCTTTGGTCGCGATCCGTACGCCGGCGACCCCGCGCAGACCAAGCAGGGCGACGTGGCCGCCATCACAGACGACTTTCCGTCCGAGCACTCGATCCTCGAGCTCAGTGCAGGGTACGAGTGGTCGGCAGCTTTGATGCAAGACAACAGTGTCTACACGTGGGGCTGCAACACAGGTACACCGCCCTCGATTCAGGTCCGCCGCCCACAGCTTCGTGTGTGCAGGCGGGCAACTGGGTCACGGGGACACGGCGTCGATGGCCAAGCCGACGCTCGTACAAAGCTTTGTGGGCATCCGCGTCGTCCGCATCTCTTGCGGCGGCACGCACGGTGGATTCCTATCCGATATCGGCGCGCTCTACATGGTTGGGGACGGCCGCTATGGCCGCCTCGGCAACGGCTCGTTCGAGATGGCACTGACGCCCGTGCAGGTACTTCGTCTCTCGATGTCTCGGTGTGACGTGTACTAGATCACGTGCACGTACGACGCGCTCAAGGAGCGTGGCCAGGCGCTCGGCGCGTGGCCCACGTTCCTTGACGAGCGAGGCGTCAAGCGCGACGAGCCAACGACGTTTGCAGACGTGAGTTGCGGCGACCGACACACCCTCGCGCTCGTGCGCTCCGTGTCCATCGTCAAGCAGGTAGTGCGAGGAGACACATGCAGAGTGGTGCGGCAGGGGGCGCTAGGCTGTGGTGGCGTTTGGCGACGGCAGCAACGGCCGCCTCGGCGTTGGCACGGACAAGGATCACACGCTGCCGTGCTTGATCGCAGCGTACAAGACGCAGCAGGGCATCGTGTTTCCACCCATCCAAGTACACTTGAGTCTCTCGATCCGCCCTCGAAAGGTGGTCTGGATAGAAAATCCACGCCGGCCCGAGCCACAGTCTCGCCATCACACACACGGGCGAAGTAAAATGTCTGCTGCGACCCATAAATATCGACGACTGAGTAGCTCTATACGTGGGGCAACGGCGGCCACGGACGCCTTGGTCATGGATGTGAAGAAAGCGACTGGTCGCCCAAACGTGTCGAGTACTTTACCCTCACTGGTGCTCAAGCAACGGCGACAATCATTAAGCAAGCGATCTGCGGTTGGCTCTCACCGAGCCCATCCTCGTGCACAACGTGGCGATTGTAGGCGGGAGTCACACGCTAGCGCTGGATGCCCAAGGCCGCGTGTACTCGTGGGGCCGAGGCGACAATGCGCAACTCGGATTTGCTGGCTTCAAGGACGCTTGGACGCCCACGTCGTCTTGCCCAACGAGGTACGTTCTGGGCCGTCGCTGAAATGCTGTCTCCTGTGCGTAGGCGACGCCTGACGTTGTCGGCCGAGCGATCGCTGCAGGTATGCAACTGCCATCCTTACTGCAAACAAGTGACGTACTCGCACAGGGCGACTGCACTCGGCCGTGGTTGACACCCGCGACCAAGTCTACATGTGGGGCGACAATGCGTTGGGCCAGCTGGGCTTAGCACCGACCTCGGTGCCATTCCAACCAACGCCGCTGGCATTGCCTCCGTCGGACATCGGCGGCGCATCCGGCACGTCAACCGTAGCGCTTGGGGACCACTACTCGCTCTTCGTGGTGAGGCGCGACGAGACGTATCATTTCCACAAGCTCCGGATGCTGGACGATGACGCAGACGAGAACGGGCCGTGTCCAAACAACCCTGCTGGACAACCGAGGTCGTCTCGAAAGGCGGCGTTCTGGTCCCGGCGGCCGTGGCGACGACAAGCAAATGACACCGCAACGCCGGCACCGGGCCCAACGACGTACGTACAAGGCGTGTTCATCTACTGCGAACCCACGTCGGAATACTAGGAAATGGTCGTTTGCGATCCACGATCCGACCGAGTCACTCGAGCTGCCGTCGAGCATGGATCGGTTCTTGCATTTAATGGCGACGACCAAGATCGCCAAGCGTCTGCCACAAATGAACCACCGTAGGCAGCTGTCAACAGCACATTGGTTTAGATTGACGTAGAAGCGTCCATGGAGGCGGTACACCACGCCAAACTCGCTACCTTTCACCTCACAGAGGCTGCACACGAGCCCGAGGCGAGACGCATCGCAGAGCCAACAAAGCCTGTCGTTGTAAAAGGTACTCTGACTCGGCTGATACATTGATACTAGGGTGTTTCCCGTTAGGGATGGCATCGTGGCGGGCGCGACGAGCGGTGGCAACAAGAAACAAGACGGCGGCATTTGGGTCGGCAGCGCGGTTTCACTACCGCAAGCCATCCGTTGTGTCTCCGACGACCATCGTCGTGACAACGCCAGAGACACAGTCGAAGCGACCAACCAGCAACTACTTTGGCCTTGCCAAACGACTCGACGCTCCAGTTCTGCCGACCCCAGGCCCCGGCACGTACGATATCCCGGGTATCTCGGTGCCGGAACCGGTTGGGACACCGTTCGGGTCGACGGCGCCCAAGATGTTGTGCTTGACCAAGCCACCGTACGCACACGAAGTGCTCGGAAGCGTCGAGCTCCACCCCGAGTCTGCGGCACCTTTGGTGTACCCGACGTCACCGAGCGTCAAGATTGACGACGGCCATGATTTCAGCCGCGTCGTGGGGCGTCAGCTTGCCAAAGGCAAGGGCTGCACGCCGGGCCCTGGGGCCTACCACCTGCCAACCTAGAGTGTCATTAGCATTGAGCAAGACTGCACTAGGAAAACTATACGGTAGCAAAAACCCACAGACGAGAATAACATTAGTTAGAGAACCAATAAATAAGAGAGTCAGCAGTGGCCGTTCGCGAGGCGGAAGCAAGCGGCGTCTGGCGTCAGCGTCAACGACGTCACCACGATTGCAAACGTAAGCCCGAGAAGCAGCGTTCCCACGAGCGCACGCGCAGCGCAGAGCGATTTGCCACCTTCGTTCTTGAGGTACTGCAATTCGATCTTCTGCGGCGGCAAGAGGACGAGCCAGAGAAGCGCGAGGAGCTGCGCCGCAAACGAAATGAGCATCGACGCGGTGACGTGCCACCGATCGGCGTCGCAGTCGTCGAGCCACATGGACTCGGAGACGCCGAGCGTCTTGTCGACGGTCGAGAAGAGGAGGGTGCCGAGGGGCGTCGACCAATGGTGTGCGTTCGTGACGAGACTCGCGACCGTGCCTTCGTTGCCGCGCTCGGCAATCTCGATTGCGCAGAAGAAGGCGACGATGAAGCGAATGGCGATGCAGAGACTGTCGGCGAAGGGCACCCAGAGGATGACGTACGGTCCGCGGCGCACGTCCCATATCGTGACCAGCACCAGCGCCACGTCCAGGCCGACCGCGAGAATACTCGAGCCCGCGACGAGCCAGCGCCAATTCCAGAGCAGGCCGGCGCGGGCGATGCCGAGAAAGCTGAGCGCAATCACAAGGAGACTCAGCGTGTCCATGATGGAGGCGTCGAGGGCCGTGACGTTGCCCCACTGCTCGGCCAGCGGGAGGAGCGCGTTCGAGTGAAACGACGCAAACAAGTTGTGCAGCACGCGAAAGGCCACGACCTGCCAGAGCACTCTTGACTGCATGAGCTGGTAGAGTTGATGGAGCCACGACGAGACACGGACGGCCTCCATGCGCGGCTCGACAACGTCCCGCGCCGTGCCCACGAGCGCGATACATGATGGCACGAGGAGGAGCCCGTACCCGACGTTGGGGGCGACGTCAAAGTCAAAGGAGCCGCCGAGCCCGCGCGAGTTGGTGAAAATGCACACGTAGACGTGCCCAACGACCGCGGCGAGGGTCCGGATCGCGTACATGACGGCGGCGACGTAGCCACGACGAGCGAGCGGCTCGCGCTGGGCGTAGTGGACCGTCACGGCGTCCGCCGCCGCCGAGACCATGGCGTAGCCAAGACCGATGAAGACAGACGCGATCACAAATTGGTGGCCGTGGGCCCGTGTCTCCATGTTGTACGTTGCGTCGCGCTCGGAGGCGCTCAGAGAATCGAGGCGCGTGTAGTTGCACGCGGTTTCGGTGCGCGGGCGGATGCGGCAGAACGGGTCATGGAAGTTGGCGAGCGTCAGGAACGCGAGGGAGACGCATGTCGTCATCCAGCCGAGGAACATCCATGGCTTGCGCCGGTAACCCCGGATGGGCACGCAGTCGCTGAGCACGCTGAAGAAGATCTTGAGGAGCCAACCGAACGAGATGAGGATCGAGTACGCCAAGACCTCGTAGCCAGTGAGGCCGAGGTAGAGGTTGAAGAGCGGGTAGACGAGGCTCGGGATGATGCCATATAGAAGCCCGAGCGCCACGTATTGCAGGATAAGCCCGCGGCCTTCGCGGCTCTGCAGCGCGATGGCGCCGCCAGGTATCAGCGCGCTGCTGTCGTCCATGTGAATGTACTCTATCGCGGGCGGCTCCTTCGCCTCCATGACGGCGGTCGCCGTCTGCATGATGTCGTACAGCGAGGAGGCCCGCATGGCAACTCGCCCAGTGGCCACCAGCGTGGCACACAAGATCGGCCCGTCATCGTACACAGTGCATTGTACGTCGTACGTCTTAGCATTTGTATGTCACGTACGTACGTTGTACGCGATGTGGAATGGACGAGGTACGGAGCCGTCATCCTCGACAGGGCGGCTGGCTCTCGGTAGGGGCGATTGCCGCCAACCTTCTCGCTGCTTCAATGCGGGAGGAGGCTGCATTGAAGCAGATCGAGAGAACGCATCCAAAGGCCCAAGAAAGCGTAGAAAAGACGCGCACCACCGAGTGACGTAATGTATGTATCGACACCTGCTGACGTGTTTAGCACTTGGAGAGATCAGCAGAGTTGATCGCTTGCCGTCTCTGCGCTCCGTACGTCGAGGTTCTCGGTCCCATGTGATGCAAGCTGCTTGGACGTGCAGTACGTAAATTGAGTAGTACGTCATGACGTCGGGGTTAGCGGAAGTGGGCGACGGCAACGAGAGCGATCGATTGCAGAGTTTTGGGTGAAAGGGCATGGCAACTACACCAGAGGCATGAGAGAATTGCATCCCAGCCACGATAAGCAGCACTCAAGGTTTGACGCAAAAGTGCTGCAGAAGCAATTGCAGGACCCTCGGACGGCAACGGAGCTCATGTGTTCTGCGCAAGAAGCAATCCGAACGCTGGCACGGTGTCTTCAAGGTAATATTGTCAATATGAAGACGGGCCATTGTATCCGGACGGAACCGGATACGTGGCCATTTCCAATGCTGCGCCGTGTGCTGCTGCCTGTCCGCCGCTCGCTGATGGCCAAGTCGATGCACACCAAGACGCACGTCGTCGCCGTCGACAAAGCGAGCGACACGATTACGTTCACGCCCAAGGCCAAGCACTCGGCGTCGCTCGTCTTCATGCACGGGCTCGGCGACACGGCTTTCGGCTGGGCCGACACGATCCAATTCATGTCGGCGGCGCTGCCGCACGTCAAGTGCATCCTGCCCACGGGTACGTGGCGCCACCATTCGCCAACTTGCATGCACATCGCTAGTATAGCGCCGACGCAGCCCGTGACGCTCAATCACGGCATGGCGTGCCCGTCGTGGTACGATATCCAGTCGCTCACGAACCGCAAGGGCGACCCGTGCACGGGCATCGAGGCCTCGCGCGACCGTATCCTAGGTCTCATCGAGAACGAAATTGCCTCGGGCATTGACGCGTCGCGTATCGTCATTGGCGGCTTCAGCCAGGTGCGCGCCACGACCTAGTTTGACACTATAGTGCGTGTAGGGCGGGGCCATGTCGCTCTTTACGGGTTACCAAATGCCTCATGCGCTCGCAGGCGTCCTTGTTCTCTCTGGCTACGTTCCCAAGTCGGACGTAAGCGTCATCAGGTCGATTGGCTTCTCACGCCGCGTAGACCTTTGCGGTGCCCGACGCCCTCAAGGACGTGCCGCTCCTCATGTGCCACGGCGATAGCGTACAACCCTGTGTGCAAGGAAGATATGTACAAGGTTGTCCATTTAGGATATGGTTGTGCAGCTGAGCTGGGCGGAGCTCTCAGTCGAGAAGGTCCAGAGCCAAGGCGTCAAGAACGTCGAGTTCGTCGTGTACGAGGACTTGGACCATGGCGCGTCTATGGACGAGATCAAGAAGGTCCAGGCGTGGCTCACCAAGGTGCTTCCGGCCGACGTCTAGACGCGTGTCGACGTCCTAGGACATGCTCGTAATCAACACGAACCTTTGCCGCCCACGATTGTCACCCACGACCGAGACCGAGAGCCAAACCCAATTCATCAACAACAACGACTGAGAGCCAACGGTTCGATTCAAACCAGACGTTGAATTCGGTACCATATACGATGAGCGTATTGCTGGACTGTGGTTGGAATTGTAGTAATTACATCATGTACGTGGGCTGGTTGCCGCTGCCCTCGAGCGGCACAAGCATCACGTAGCTCTCGACGCTCTGCTGTGTAAGGAGGCTCCCATGCTGGTTGCTACTGCCAGCCGTCGTCCACCCGTTGCCATCGCTCGGCGTGTGCACCTAAGAACGGACGTTGAATACGATTGTGGTCGCGTCGATGCTCCTACGGAACTCAGGCCTTCGTCGCCCCCGTCGTTTGGGTTGATGCGGTGTTGGCCGATGGGTACAGTCGGGTGGCTCATGCGCACGACGACCGACGGCCGCCGGCGCATCGGGCTCACGGTCGCGTTCGAATTGTTGTTGGACGCACTGCTGGCTACGATCGCGGTGCCGTCGGTGACGGCGCAACCAACCAAGAGGGCGTACCGCTAAACGCACTCAGATCTTCTTCTGGGTACCGGTCCTCCTTGCCACTCGTGGGCTGCAGAAGCGTGTCGGCGCACCGGTCGTAGCTTTGCCGAACGACATGGAATGGCTCGACGCGCGGTTGCTGGAACGTTCCGAACGGCAGCGACTGGTTCGACGACGCCGCGCTGCTGCTGTGACGCCGCGCATGCCTACAGCACATAGATAAGACCGATGGGACGGAACACGAATGACGGCGTACGCGTACTGGGGCGGGTCGCTCGGGCGGCGGTGCGTCGGCGGCCGCTGGCCATCCTGGGGACCGTAGTGCTCGTACATGCGGAAGCGCTCTTCGCTCGCGAGCGAGATCGTGTCGCCATTCGCACGTGTGCGCGGCGTCCGTGCCATCTGGAGCACCTCGGGGCCCAGGTGGCGCGGCGGCGCTCGGACACCCGTGTCCGGTCCGTACGACGGCGGCTGTTGGCGGGGCACGTATTGACTGATGCTGCAACTAATGTCCGTGATCATCGTGCCGCGGTCGTCTTCGTTGGACTCGTCGTCGAGCGGCTCCGAGTAGAGCTCGGATGTGGGGACGAGGCGCATGTCGGCCTGGCCGCGCGTCGTTGCCGAGCACAGCGTGCAGATACGCACACGGCGAAGGCCGACGTTGGGCAAGTCGAGTTCCCAGACAGAGTGGCAGCGCTTGCAGATGGCCTCGCCGCACTTGCGGCACGTAAACTTTTTCTGGAAAAAGTAAAAGCGCTTGTAGCAGAGAATGCACTCCATCTTCTCGCGAAGCGACGGGAGCTCAAGGTCGCCGAGGAGCGGCTCGGACTCCAGGCGCTGCTCTTGGAGGACGCGGTTGAGGTTCGAGAGCGCAGCGATCTTCCGGCGCGCCATGACGTCGGACATCCACTGCGGTGCCGACCCTTTGCAGTCGATCTCGAGAAAGTAGTGACACTCGAGCTCGCCGGGCTTGTTCGTCTCAAGGAAGACAAATCCAGAGTAGTAGAAGCTGCCGCGGATGATCTTGAGCGCCTCTAGGGGCGGACAGGCAGGGATCTTGACCGAATGCATGGCGTGCGCCCAGCCGCGGCGGCCGTCGGGCGACGTAAACTCTTCATTGCACTAGACATTGACAGTGAGCAACATACGCACCGAGAAGGAGCGCACCTCGAGGTAGACAAAGTCGCGGTTGTACGAGAAGGGCACAGGCGATGCGACGCACGCCCACGTGATGCCAATCGAGTCTCGCGGGCGCGCGCCCGTGGGCTGCGTGAGGTTGTAGAGAGCCATCGTGTCGAGGATGTCGCGTGATCGCATGATGCTCTGACCGCGGTCGACCTTGAACTGAAGAGCGACCTCTTCGATCGTCGCGTTGACTTGTGTGACGCCCCGATGCAACGACGACGCGGTCGCACTTGTCGGCGACCGAGGGCGACTGTTTCGGAGGCGTCCGGACGTCGTCATGTCGCCATGGCTAAACAGGTCGTCGCGAAGAGGCACGCCAATGTCTTGCTCATGCGAACCCCGTTGCGGATGTTGATGGTCGACCACTCCGAATGAGGCGAGTACGACGTCTCGATGAGGCGGAGGCAGGCCATGCGCGCGACGAGGACAAGGTACGCCTCCTCTTCGCGGTCCATCTCGCCGCAGTGGAAGTAGTCCCGCGGCAGCGGCATGTGGTGCTCGGGCTTCATGCGATCAGGAAGTCGAAGGACCCAGTTTCAAAGTAATGTTGTTTGTCACGCATGGACACCCAGCGGTTTGTGCCAAGTGCCCGTTTTTTCGACTACCCCCCCGACGCGATTTCGAGGCCCGCCGATCCCCAGGCATACAAACATCAAGGTAAAGGCGGCAAAGGTAATAGGTCGGCCCCCCCTCCGTCGCCGAATTGATAGTCCCATCCAAGCCCCATACAAACAAGAGGTGGACTAGTTGCCCAAGTTCTTGTCTAGAAAGCTGCCGCATCGGATGCTCTCTGCCGAGCCGCCGATGGCGTGGTGAGCACAAAGCTACGTGGGTGAATCAACAGTGTACAAATCCTTTCTGCAACGGCTCGTTAGCTGGGCGTGGGCCTAAGCTCCGAGTATCCAAGACCGAGAAAGACACGCGAGAAGCCAGTAGAGCTATCAGGCGCGAAAAATTGAGCGTCGGTCCGTGCGCTGCCATCCCCAAGTGTCCAGCAGCCCTGTCCAGCGTTGGCGCCATCGCCTTCCTTGACGACAAGTCGACGGGTAATGTAGCACAGCAGGTTCGGCGCTCGAATCGAACTCGGCGAACGTGGCAGTAAGCTCGTTCGAGGGCATAGAAGTCACGCAGCGAACGACACTGAAACCTGCCACCACGCGTCGACTGTGATGGTGAAAGCTCAAGGAGCATTCTTGCACGTGGCACATGCCACTTTGAGACCTTCCGTCGATATCCGGATGGCATGAACGGATGAAAATCTTGAAATGGAATCGCCCACGAAGCGGGTGCGGACGTCGCTGACGCTGGCGGATGCGGCTGACGTGGCATCGCCGCCCGAAAGCAAGACGACGCTGAGCCTCGCGCCGCCACTAGACACAGCGGCGGCCATCGACGATGCCGACTTCGACGACAGTGATACGTGGGACGTCCCGACGCGGCTCTGCAACTGGCTGGCTGCCAATGGCGCGGACCTCGAGAAGCTGCGCATTGAGACGTATGCACCAGAGGTGCGCGGTGTGCACGCCAAGCGTCCGTTCTCGGCCGGCGACCGCGTCATGCTCATTCCTCTCAAGTGCCTCATCACGGTCGAGATGGGCAAAGCGACCGACATCGGGCTCAAGATCCAGCACCTCGAGTTTGGCGCGCCCAAGCACATCTTCTTGATGATGTACCTCTTAACAGACATGGAGCTTGGGAACGACTCGTTCTTTAAGCCGTACTACGACTCGCTGCCGCCAACGCTGCACAATCTGCCCGTCTTTTGGACCGACGACGAGCTGCGCTGGCTGCAAGGGTCACACATCGTGCACCAGATCCGTGAGCGCAAGGCCACAATCGCACGTGACTACGAGGCCATTTGCGCCGTGGACCCGACCTTTCGCCGCTTCTCTCTCGAGCGCTTCATGTGGGCACGCATGATCGTGTGCAGCCGCAACTTTGGCATTAGCATCCACGGCTTCAAAACCGCAGCGCTCGTACCGTACGCCGACATGCTCAACCACTACCGGCCCCGCGAAACGAGGTAGAACATGTTTTCTCATGTTTTCTTCTCATCGGATGCAGCTGGACCTTTGACGACGATGCCAACGGGTTTACGATCACGGCCCTGCATGGCATTGCCGCTGGCAACCAAGTCTACGACTCGTACGGCAAAAAGTGCAACCACCGGTGCGTTCAACGCTGACGCCGAGCCCACTCATGCTAGCGACTAGGTTCCTTCTCAACTATGGGTTCGCCGTGCCCGACAACACGGAAGAGGACGGTCGCAATCCCAACGAGGTGCTCTTCCCGCTACAGCTCTTCGAGAACGAGCCTTCGTCGCTCTTTGGCAAGAAGCAACGGTGCACTGCGACGTCTGCGCCGCAAACGCTCAAGGCATGTGTAGATACCTCCACGACAGCGGTGTCTACTCGATGGACACGCGCTTCAGCACGTACCACGGCGACGCCAACACGCGCGAAGGTTTGATCGCGTGCTCCTCGTGCAGTAGGATGTATGCCCCAGTGCGTAGGACTGAGTTTTCTGCGACTCATTGTCGCGACCGAGTTGGAATTCGACGCGTTCTCGGTGCAGACGCCGGCGCACGCGATCCCGCCGATTTCGCTTGAGAACGAGGTTCGCGTGCTCAAGCACATTGCGGCCCTCGCCACTGTTCAGGTACACTGCATCTCGCGATCGAGGCAGCGACAATACACACGTGTCTTAGCTGTTCCAATATGCCACGACGCTCGAACAGGATATGGTTGCCGTCGCGCAATGCCCCGTCTTCTCCAACCGAGCGCAGGCGCTGCATTTCATCATGGGCGAGAAGCGCGTGTGTTTGTACTACCAAAGCATGGCCTACGACGTCGCGCCGCTCTGGACGCAGCCGCACAACGTCATCCGAGCGCGCGTCGCCGCCGAGTTCGAGCCCGAGGACGACCCCAGAAGCCGATACGTCGACGACGTCACGGCGTTTCTGCTCGGCGATTCATTCGAGTAGCAATGTTGTTTCAACTTGAATAGGGAATGAATCGACGTGGCTCCATGTCAAGAGCCTCGTCGATTTAGATGGTGCGTTTTTCTCGTGAGCCGGCGGGGTGCTTCGGACTCGCCCCACGCATTGTTGTCGCCACGTTGGGTACTGGCATGCTACGGAGCCTCGTATAAGGTCCAGGAGTCGGGGTCAATGAGCTGCCAAGGTTTGTAACGCCATGATGCAGCGCGTGTCTGGATGCATCCATTCTCCGGTCCTTGCGCATCAGATAACGTCGCCACGACACCGACGGCGGAAAAGGATCGGCGATCAGACGCAGCACCACCGTCGCCAGGAACGGTGCGGATCGTGACCCGCAAACGCTGATCAGTGACCGACGATGGCTGCATCCTCAAGCATTCATAACACTTGCCGTAGGGACTGTGGGCGTCATTTCGTCGCGTCATGCCTGGCTGGATGCGTTATAATTCACTGTGATACATAGCTAAGGATAAATGTGAGCCATCGACGACCCGGCGTCATAGGCAAGGGACTTGTGCTTCTGGTCATGCGATGCACGATCGCCGTCTGTCACTTTGCGTGGCGATCCTCTGTTGCATCGACGAGCTTGGGTGTGTCTTCGTGCGCGACACGATGAGGAGACACCAGCAGCCGCCATCTGCTACAACATCTGGCAGGCGATTCGGAACCAGACCCGATTACGGTATGACCCGAAGACCGCAGCGGCAACTTCAACAACACCACGGCTTTGGCAACACCGACTTGCATGCGACGTCAATGACCAGCGTCTTCTCGGTCGATCGATCCCTTCTGCACCATCGATGAAGCGAGTCCATTGATTTTGGTCCACGTGCACTCGCGTCGCAGCAACAGCGACAGGCGGCCGTTTGCCGTCTCTTCTTTATCGCCGTCCATCCATCCACTCCCTCGCGGCTTCTCTTTCACGAGCACCAGCCTTGCCTCGTACCGGGACGGAAGACATGGATATGCTCAAATCATATGTTTGCGCTTGTTAAGTCGTCGGTACAGGTAGAAGGTCCGTGGACGAGACCACAAAACACTGAATTACGCGTTATTTAAACAAGAACGAGGAGCGCCGTCGCGAGTAGGGCGACGGCAGAGACGGCGACTGCCGAGGCGCTGGACGCCGGCGCCGCCGTCGTGGTGTGCGGCTTCAGAAGCGCGGCGCGCATCGAGAGGACGGCCGTGTCGAACGGGATCATGCCAAGAACGGTCGTGGGCAGCGCGAGGCCGAGCTGGTGCACGATGCAAGGCGGCGTCACCATAAGCATCATGCCCATCGATGTCGTGTAGAACTCGCGGCAGTTGTGCGACTTGGAGAAGGCGTCAACCATCTCCTTCGTGCTCGGGGCCCAGCCCGTGACCGCCATCTTGAGGTAGTCTTCGTTGATGTCCTTGGCGCAGAGAGCGTACGAGCCCTTCTCTTGCGACGCGTACGCGATCATACCCGCGAACTCGTCCGACCGGCAGTCCTTGGGCTTGGGCGTCGGCTTGGGCGTGGGAGCGGCCGACGTCGGCTTCGGCGCCTCCGTCGCGGCAGCAGGCGCCTCCGTAGCATTGCTGGAAGCCGCAGGGGCATCCGTCGTCGCGGTCGCAGGTCCCGCAGTGACCACGCTCTTCATCGTCGCGACGGCCATGTCGAACGTAATGAGCGAAAACTTCATCGTGTCGAGCGGAAGACCCGCGACCGTGAGCGAGCACGGCGGCGTGATCCCCTTCATGAACTCGCCGGAGGCGACATAGAAGGCCTTGCAGTTGGCCGACTTGGAGAAGGTCTCGACCATCTCGGGCGTCGACGGCATGAAGCCGGGCACGGCCATTTGCGCCGGCTGGATCTTGAGCTCGGCGGCGCAGAGCGCGAAGGACGAGGTCGGGTCCTTGGCCAGCGGCAACAAACCCGCAAAGTCCGCGTTGGTGCAGTCGGCGGCGGACGCAAACGCGACCGAAGCGACGAGGAAGCCCAGAGCTGTCTTCATGGTAGTGAGATCACGCTAGTTGGTCGCGAAATGGGAAATGGCGCAGTGTAGGATTGCTGCACGCCTCGCAGCCACTTGTTTCGTATACAGGTAGTACCCCGAGGTGCCCCGTACACCCGCCTCGCCACCTGTTGCGCTACTTGTTGAACATGTGGTCGGGGACGGTGGCCATCCCAGGACAGGCACGACCCACCAACTCGTTGCGTGTCGTTTCGTCGACGTCGGATCAGTCGAGAGAAAAAGAAAGGAAGTGTCCTCACGGCTACACTCCGTGTGCGGGTGCAGAGGTCGAATTCACTGGGTTGCGCACCTCGCAGCCTTGGCAATGGGAAAACGCTGCACGTGCCTGCTCAACACGAGCACGTCTTGGGAAGAGTTCTGATCGTGATGCAGCTTGTGTCAAGTGTCGAGTTTGCACTTCCAGCTCGGGTGTCGGCCGGTCGTGAACAGTCGGCGACGGACGCGGAAAGCTGGTCGCGGCTTTCTCGTGTTGCCCGCGCTCGTTTGTTGATTCGAGTTGGTGGTAGCAGACGCAAATGAACCTGCTGCTGGTGTCGAGTACCGCTCGATCCTCGGAGAATTGCCACTTTTCATTTTGCTCGATCCACCACGATGGCGTTTTTGACCACGGAGGATCTCAAAATGTGCTTCTCGCTCTTCTGCTGCGTCTACGGCATCGGCACACTCGGCATGCCCGCCAACTACGCCCGCGCTGGCTACTACTGGGCGACCGGTGCGCTTGTTCTCATGGCTGCCATCAACGTCTATGCGTCGTGGTGCATGGCCAAAGTCATGATGGTCGCACCGCGGAACGTCAAGACCTTTGGTGACCTCGGCGAGTGGTCCATGGGCTGCTTCGGCCGGTACGCGGCCAACATCTCACAGCTCCTCGTGTGCGTCATGGTGCCGATTATGTTTCTCGTCCTCGGCGGCTCGATCCTCACGACGCTTTTCCCGTACTCGTTCAAGGACTCGACTTGGATCATCGTCATGGGTGTCACGCTCCTCCCCGTGTGCCTCATCCCGACGCTCAAAGAAGGTGCCGGTGCTGCGTTTGCCGGTGCGCTTGGCACGATCCTCGCTGATGCGATCGCCGTCGGCGTCCTCGTCACCAACATCAGCGAGGCGAACGCCGGCCTCTCGGCTCCGACGCCGGACCTCTCGTTCAAGCAAGTGTCGACGGTGTTCGGCAACCTCGCGCTAGCCTACGGCGCTGGCATTGTCATCCCGACGTTGACGCGCGAGCACTCGGAGCCATCGCGCATGCCCCGGGTCATCGTCGTCACGCTGGTCATTGTCTCGATCTTCTTTATGATTGTCGCCGTCACTGGCGTGTACGAAGTCGGGTGCCAAATCCCCGGCAACCTCCTCTTTGCTATCGCCGGTTCCAAGCTCGGGTTTGCCGCTGACCGGGGTGCCGTCGCCCTCGCCTTCCTCTTCATGCAGCTGCACATTTCGGTGGCGTTTGCCGTCGTTATGTTCCCGGCCTTTTACATTGCGGAGCGCATCTTCCTTCGCATGCACAAGACGACAATTGACCGCAACGAGCGCATCGACCCCAACGCGGTGGCCCTTGAGAACGACGCGGTCCTCGAGGAGCAGACGCCCAAGGACGTCGAGTTCCCGTCGTTTGACGCCGCCGCCGAGTACAACGCCCCGGGCAAGTATCTCCAGGCCGCCGTCGTGCGCACCATTATGGTTGCCCTCGCGGTCGTCGTCGCGATTGCGTGGAAGGACAAGTTTGGCGACCTCCTCGACTTTGTCGGCGCGTCGTCGACGGCGACGTCGTGCATGATCCTTCCGCTTGTCTTCTACCTCAAGACCTTTTGGCGCAGCATCGGCTCGGTCGAGCGCGCGGCCGCTCTCTTTTGCACGATCGTGTCCATCTTCTTTGCCATTTACGTCTCGATCGCGACGGGCAAGACGCTCTTTGGCACCTCGTCGGCGCCCAGCGTCAACTTTCCGTTCTGCCACGCCGAGTTTCAAGACGTCGTGTACACGAACCGCGCGCACTACAACTACACGTCCAAGTAGCTGTCTTCGTTAAATGTGTCTTCAAAATGTGCTGTGCTTGCCAAGTATGTTGGTCAACTCCGGCGTGATCGTCGAGTTCAGTCCACTGCGTTAGCAGGTATGTATTACTGGATCCCCGTCGTAGAGCTCTGGAAAGTTAGTCAACCAAAGAACACGCAGGACACGCATGTCCTATTGCAATCTCTTGGACACCACAGACTGAAAAAAAGGTCCAAGTACCCCGTTGTGACCTCACGTGTCCGAGTCAATGACGTACGCGCGGTGCTTGTGGCCGAGTCTCTAGCTGGCAGTGTTTGGCTGCAGCGCGCCATTCGCAATCCATGACGCGACTCTAGCGACTGTCGCAGATGACCATCTGCACTGTACAAAGGCAAGCAGCGCCGCGACACGGCGCCAGCTTGCGTCTTTTGGTGTCCGCTTCCATCCGTCCCATCGGCGGCGTCTACTGCACACGACGGAGCCGCCATGCACGGATGTGGAGGGAAGGAAGACGAAGAAGGATCTTGTTCTGGGAGCAATGGCGTCGGTAGCGTCACGCGTGCAAGTGAGCGCGCGTCTGGTTCCTCGAATTGCCTGTCAACGCAGGGGTGGCACCTGCTCAGACGCAGCGTTGCATACGCGCTTACTTTCTTTTTTGCGGAACATCATCGGGTACCACGGGTCCCACGGAGACGCGGGTCGCACAATGCAATGGATGACATGGGCGCGCATTCGTGGTCGGGAGACGACGCCCCATCCAACGAGACGACAGGCGTAGAAAACACCCACCGTGGGTGGCCGCCGTCTATGATTTGTTGATGTACGCGGTGACGACATGGTTGGTGAAGACGGTGACGCTGTTTGTCGGTCGTTCGTTGTTGAGTAGACACAGTCTAAAGCTACTTCTTCCGTCGTTTTCGTCTCGCGCAGTGTCGTTCCACCGGCGGCGTCGCCCCGCCCCGCAACGTGGCCGTCTCTCTGTGACACATCAACACACATGGTATGGTGGGCGTGTGGTGCAGCCTGATCCGAGCGCAAGAATCACGAAACTCGTCGGTGGATGCAGTCCGTGGCTTCTGCGAGCCTGTTGAGTGAACACCCGCCACTGTTGGACAAACAGCAGGGGTCAGCTCTCCTCCCATTTTCCAATTTGCCTTGTCTAGCAACAAGTCCAAGATGGCGTTTCTGACCCAAGAAGACGTCAAGATGAGCATCGCGCTCTTCTGCTGCATGTACGGAGTCGGCTCGATCGGCGCTCCCGGCAACTTTGCCATGGTCGGCTACGGCGTCGGCATCGTCATCGTTGTCGGCATGTGCATCGTCAACATGTACGCGTCGTGGTGCATGTCCAAGGTGCTCCTCATCGCGCCCAAGCACGTCAAGACGTTTGGCGACATTGGCGAGTGGTCCATGGGCATCGTCGGCCGGTACGCCGCCAACCTCTCGCAGCTCATCGTGTGCGTCATGATTCCGACCATCTTCCTCGTCCTCGGCGGCTCGATCCTCTCGATGCTCTTCCCGCTCACGTTCAAGATCGGTGTCTGGATCCTCTTCATGGCCCTCGCGCTTCTTCCCGTCTGCCTCTACCCGACTCTGAAGGAAGGCACGGGTGTCATCTTTGCCGGTGCTCTCGGCGCCGTGGTCGCTGACGGTATTGCGCTCGCGGTCCTTGTCCACAACGTCACCAAGCAGAACGACGGCCTCTCGCCTCCGCCCGCCAACATCAACTTTGACCAGTTCTCGACCGCCGTCGGCAACTTGGCGCTCACGTTTGGCGCCGGCACGATCATCCCGGTCCTCCACCGCGAGCACTCGGACCCGACGCGCCTCCCGCGTGTGATCATCTTTACGTACACGCTCGCGCTCGTCTTGATCCTTGTCGTCGGCATCGTCGGCTTTGCGCAGGTCGGATGCCAGATCCCGTTCGACGCTGAGGGGTACCTCCTCTTCGTTGTCGCCACGCCGTACCTCGGCTTCATCTCGGACCGCGGCACGGTCATCCTCGCACTCGTTTCGATGCTCGTGCACAACATGGTGGCTTACGGCGTCGTCATCTTCCCGAGCTTCTTCATCCTCGAGCGCCGCCTTCTTGGCCTGCACCCGACGGTGATCGACAGCACCAACAACTACAACGACCTGGAGACGCCCGAGGTCGAGAAGGAGCGCAAGTCGGAGGCCCGCGCGAGTCTCATGGATGCGCTCGAGTTCCCGTCGCCCGAAACCGCGGCCGACTACTCGGCGCCCGGCGCGTACCTCAAGGCCTCGATCCTGCGCACGCTCGTCGTCGCCGTCTCGGCCACTGTCGCCATCATCGGCCAGCGCGACTTGACGAACCTCGCCAACTTTACCGGCTCCAGCATGATCCTCCTCTGCTGCGTGATCCTCCCCGTGACGTTTTACGCCAAGGTCTACTGGCAAAAGATGTCGGCCGTGCACAAGGTGTGGGCGATCCTTGTCGTGCTCCTCGGCGCCTTCATCGCGATCTACGGCTCCATCTACACGGGCAAGATCCTCTTCTCCAAGAAGAAGGAGCTGCCGCTCTTCCCGTACTGCGAGGCCAAGTACCAAACGACGGTCTACACCAACCGGTCGCACAAGCCGTACAAGCCCGTGACGCCCAAGCCGACGCCCCTCGGCTTGTAAGCGCCATCGTTTCGTCGATTGAAAAGTCTAATGTGAAGCGTGTTCTATTTGTCCACTCTATCACTCTCTGCTTCTTCTTGTGGACAAGTTAACGACGACCCCTGAACGCATGGGCCAGCGACGGTTGTTAGCAGGGGTTGGTGCAGACAGCCGTTCTCAGTTGAAGTTGCTGCTTCTCGAGGGCAGGATAATATTTCTTCGTCTCCGCCTTTGGGTCTGGGAGGGTTAAATGTCTCACATCCAGAAGCTCAGGAGCTCACGAACCTCCTCTGAACTTGGCACCGAGTCTTGAACAGTGCTCTTCAGCGAGCAATAGTGTGGCCTAAGAACGCCACTTGGCGCAATCTTCAAGGCAAGAACCGTCGAGAAAAGGAATCACCGCGACAACGAGCCTCGCCGTCCATGGCGTATTGCCAGATAGCATTCCAATACAATGACTACATGGCGTGCGCTCCGTGGACGTAGCTGTTGCTTGGACAAGAAATCGCCGGGCGTGTAGGAAGAGCTCCGGGGCACATACTTTTCTAGGCAATTCGCTCGCGATCTTCCTGCTGATATCCGGCGCCGCTTCTGGTCAGTGCGGATCCTTCTCAAAGTCGGATCACCGGACTCTACCGAGGCTCCGGTCGCGTCAACGAAGACGATGCTGCAACCTCCGCGCCCGCCTGTCCGCCGCGACTACACGCGCCTTCCGCGCGCTGTGCCCGCATCCCTCCATGGCCCCCGTCGCGCCGCAATCTTCATGCGTACGCCTGCTGAAGAGATGGTAGTCTTCGCGCCAGTCACCGATGCTCCGTCGCTCTGTCTTCGCCGTACATCTATCCAACGTGGTACAGCCTGCAAAGATGCTTTAGGTCGATTTGGAGGACGGGTCGTAGCCGCTGTGTGCGTCTGCCTCATGATAGGCGCGGTGCTGCTGCACACTCGTGCTGCCATGCCACAGCGCCTCGATATCATGACGCAGATCCAGCAGTCGTCGGCGCTGCGTTTAACGCTGCACGCGAAGCGAGAGTCCATGATGATCAACGGACTCAGTTCCGCGACCATCTATGTCGTGCCCCGCGTCGGAGGCAGCTTTGACGCCGTTCTCACCCACGTCGGCGGCAACGCGACAGAGACGTACTTGCTCGTCAACGACCGGGCGTACTACATTGTGAGTCATGCCGGCGCTGTCGTCTCGGTCGACTGCCTCGACCCGTCGCAGTTGCCGCCCTTGCATTCGGTACGCGTATTATTTCTTGTTGAAAACTGATCGCCAAGTAGATGCAAGTGAGTTTGAACGAGGCGACGATCGTCGACGCGGTCGAGATGGTGTCTCCAACGGTCGCGTCTGGCAACTGCCTCGGTGGCAAGTGGCTGCAGCTGCGCTTCGCAGGCGAAACTTTTGTCTTTTGCAAGTCGCCGGCGCACACGCTGACGCACGCCGTCGGCGAGGACTTGGACATGACGATCGAGTACATTTCGGACCCTTCCGAGATTCCGTCGCTGATGGTGCCGCCGCCGCCCAACGAAGCGTTTATCGTGTGTCCGTTGCTGCCTGGGTACAGCCGCCTCCCGACGCTCCCAATCGCGCTGCTGTCACCTGCCGCGTTTGACGATCTTCCTGTCGAGCCGCGTATTGCTCGTCTCGGCGCCGCGTCGTGCGAGTGCAAGCTCGCGCAAAAGAAGCCGTGTCTCTTTGTCCACGGTCTCGGCAAGCCGTTCGCGTCCGATCCGACAAACTCGGACGGGCTTGAGTGGGGCTCCATCCAGAACCACGCGCCGTGCTGCTCGTCGACCAAGTTTGTGCACTTTGAAACGTGGAAGCATGGCTGGAACAACGACGAGATCCAGAACCAGTTCTGCGACGCAGCCCAGCGCGTGAGCCACTCCAACTCAACCGCAATTCAAGACCTCATCCTCATCACATACTCGATGGGCAACCTCGTGGCAGGTGGTGCCGTTGCGACCGGAAAGTGCAGTTTCGGCAACGGTATTTCCTGGATCTCGATCGCAGGCCCGATGCAAGGGAGCAAGACCGCCAACCTCCTCGAGCGAAAATGCAAGGACGGTGGCTGGAACATCCCGCTAAAAGGTCTTTTGGAGCTCATCACGCTCTGCCCCATGACCGACGCCTTCAAGACGCTAAAGGATGTGTCGACGGTCGACACGACGCTGCAAGCCTCGTACCGAGCGGCCCAAGACGTTCGCGCCAAGTACGCGACCAAGATTCTTTGCGGCAGCAGCCCGTTCGGGCTGGTCTCCGTGTACGCGCCAGTGCTGAGCCTTATCAGCAAGCTCACGCACCATGCCGATATCAATGACGGCGTCGTCGCCTTCTCGAGCTGCGCCGCGGGGTTCTCCAAATCTTCGTTCTCGACCAACTACGCCGACGATGGCAACTACCTTGTACATACCAACCACCTCGACAACTCGTTCCGCCTCGGCGATGGCTGGTGGGGCGCCGACCGCAAGCCCACAAAGTGGTTCGAGTGCGCTTTGTAGCAGAACAACTTTTATGATCCAACATGCGACGGTAGAAATCATGCGCCGATCTCTGGTTTCATAGTCCTGGGCACGAGCTGGCACTCTGGGCACGATGGCCGAGAAAAGTTGGCGGTTGTAGGATCTGCACCATTGCTAACGACAACAGAGCCACAGAGGTCTGCAACTGGCTCGTCGAAGAACCACGTACAAACGTCTTTGGAGCCAAGCACAGTGTCCCGAAGCCAAGCCGTCTCCCACATGATGCGCGACAAGATTTCACGAGAAACGCTGGCGAATGGCACTGATACTATACAGAACCACCAACGCCAGCAAATCAAAGACCTCATCTCGCTTCGTCGCCATACCACCAGGAACATCAAATGCTTCGACGTTTAGCCCGCATGAAATTCAACCAGACAGAGGCTTTATTTTCTAGACGACACAAATCGAGATGGGAAAGTCGTGGAGCTTCTTGACCGTGCCGTAGCCACACGCCGTCTTGACGCTAGCATCGTCCGTCGTGAACTGCGGGTAAAAGTACGTGTGGTCCGTTGCAGCCGAGAGGAGATCAAACATGGCAGACGAAAGCGAAAATTCCTTGAGCTCAAACTTGCTTGTCGTCCAGAAGACACCTTCCGGGAACGTCACGCGGTTGATCTTGGAGATTGGGTTGTTGGAGACGTCCCTGCGTAGTACACAGTGAGTTGTCGTGGACATAAATGGATCAAGTGAGTGGTACATTTGCTGGGGAAGCGCCATGTCTTCGAGGGCCGTAATGTTGTTGTTCTGAAGCGAAATTGCGTTCGGCAGCGTGCACGTCGGCGGAAACGCAAGGATTGCGTTGTCCCGCAGCGTGATCGAGGACAACTTGGCCATCCAGTCGCAGCTGGCTGGAAGCTTGGTAAGCTTGTTTGCGTCGAGCGCACTAGACGAAACGTCATTATCTCTGAGCGCAAGGAACCTGCTTTGCAGTCGTACAGGATGCCCACGGACGTCGGGAGGCTAAAGTCGTCCGGGATGGATGTAATCGCGTTGCTGTCGAGCTCTCTACATTGACGCAGCAGTTGTTACACGCTGGCGCTGCAAGACGAAACCTACAGTGTGAAGAGATTGGGCCACTCGATCTTGGACGGCAGTGTCGCAATCTTGTTGTGCGTCAGGCCGCTGCGCCAGCATACGTTAACATCGCATCAGCCGCGTAGATGTGTTACATGTAGTGGATCGAGTCGGGCAAGTCGTTCTTGGAAGGAAACTTGGCGATCTTGTTGGAAGCGAGGTGTCTACACCGCAACAAAACTTGAGGTTCGAGGGCTCGTGACGCAAGGGCGTACATAATGTTCAGGTTGGACGGCAGGTTTGCAGGCAGCACTGACAGTTGCGTGTTGGTGAGTGCCCTAGACCACAGTTGTAAGGACTTTGAACGGTACACGACCATGTCAGTACAGTTCGGTGAGGGCTTCGGGCCACTGCTGCTGGGCTTGGATCGTCTTGAGTGGGTTTCCCGAGAGGTCACTAGTTTCATCTTAGCTGGGTGGTTCGTGCATGGTTTTATTGTACAGCTTTGTGAGCGTGGACGGGAGCTTGACGACAGTGCTGAACTGGTTGGACGCGAGGTTCCTGTCAAATGACCTCGTGCAGACAACAAGAGAAAAGAGACGTCGTCGTACAGTTCGGTGAGGTTGCTGGGCCATGTAAAGTAGTCGTTGAGCGACTTGATCTTGTTGTTGCTCAGACTGAAGAAGCCGAGGCCGTCGGGGAGCGGAGTCGTTGCAGGATACGACGTCAGCTTGTTGGACGAGAGATCTCTGTGAAAGCAATATTGGCCGATGGCGACAAGCACAACACGTACATATGGGTGAGCGACGCCGGCCACGTGAAGTCCTTCGGGATCGTCTTGAGGTTCACGCGGCTGAGCGAGCTACGTATCGCGTTGAGCTTTTGCAGCCAAGACGACGTGGTACAATTTCTTGAGGCCGTCGGGCAGCGACACGCCCGTGAGGCAAAGGCTCGTGACGCGGGAGATGGTTCTATGATAGAGCTTGAGTCGTACATAGCCCAAGCGGCCAGCGTACTTGAGCGTCTCTTTCGCGCCGTCGTAGCGAACTTCGAGGTAAGTGCCGTCGGTCGTGAGCGTTGTTTCGCTGGCCAAACCTCATGAGCCGGGCGACAGGAGCGAGAGACATGTACATGGAGGTGATGTCGGGCAGCGCGAGGACCTCCTTCCAGATCGGGTTCGACGGCGCCCGCTTCGCAGCGTCGGCGCCAATGGCCAAGAGAGCGACCCACGCGAGGACTTGCATGCTAATTGAAATCTGACTCTGCATTGCACTCGCCAAGCGAGCCGAATTTCGAAGTACCACTTGTATGCAGCTGCATTGACAGGGCGCTTCCCATTGGCGCTTCCTGCCTTGCGTGGCAGAGTGCGCGTCAACTTCGACTTCGGCTCGTGGATCCAGTCTGTGGAACGCCATGCGTTCGATTCGCAGAGCCTTCGTCGGTGACGCGACGACAACGCTCGCAACGCGCTGCGTGGTGCTAGAGCCCTTGGCCCTCGCCTGCCACACCCGACGCGACGGTGCCCCGTAAAGAGGCAGAAAGTGGCGTCGACGGTCGTCTCGTGTGTCGACGGACGAGCTGGTAAATGAAAGGTACATCACGCACAACCACACTCCAAGCCGTCCACAGCACAGAAGTGCACACACCCTTCCTCGAGCTGGATGGATCTGGAAGGGCCAAATCAGACGCAAGCTCAGATTCCAGACTTTGCTGCAGCACGAGCACTTGTGGTTAGTGCCCATGTTTAGTGTAAATGCAGACCCCGGCGCTGTACAAGCTCCATGAACTGTACGTATTAAAGTATGATCATTCAAACCACTACTGGCGTTCGTCGTCGACGCCCAGGGCCCTAAGCTGTGCAAGCAATTGCCGTAGCTGCGCCGGGGTCGCATCGAGTTGGCTCACGTCCAAGACGGCACCGCTAGGATGTGTTACTCGCGACTCTTGAAAAGCATCTGTCGCATGGTGCTGCCCACGCAAGGCCCCACGTAACGGCCCATGCGTCGACTCCGGCGGGCGATCTGTTGCTGCATTAAAGTGCGGCATCGTGTAGTACCTCCCGCGACGCACTGGTATGTCGCGGTGTTGAAACGGGTCTGGCGCCGGCCGGTCGTCGGGCCACGATAGCTGACGCTCTGGCGGTGGCCGCGAGGCCGCGTCACGCTCCTGGGTCGAGAACGCTCTCGGCAATGGTCGGCGGTGCTGCTGCTTTGCGTCGTCGCAAGTGTAGATCTGGAAGGGGGCCTCGTTGGCGACTGTGGGCATGGGCATTGGCGGCAAGTCGATCCCAGCGCCAGCCGCACACTTGTGACACACGCGGACGCATGTACCACGCAGCTCCCAATGCTTGCTGCAGTGCTTGCAAACGACTTCGCCGCACTTTCGGCACTGCCGCTTGGCGACGAAAGGAGAGAACTTTGTGCCGCAGAGAAAGCAGCTGCGGCGCATCGAAAGCGGCACGAGCTGGTCGTCGGTGAGGCTTGCAGAGACGTTGAGTCGGAGTTGCCGGAGGAACGTGTCGATCTCGACGATGTTTCTCACGCGGCGCTTCATGGCGGTACGCACAAGCCACGTCGGGAGCGCGCCCGCGAGGTCCGTTTGAATGACATGGACGCACTTCAAGAGGCCCGGCATCGTGCTCTCGAAGAAGACGTATCCCGCGCGAAACAAGGTTGCGCGCACGAGGCCCGGGAAGGGAGGACAAGAGGGCAGTTGGATAGAGTTGAAGCTGCGCGCCCAGCCGCGAACACCGTTAAGCGTAAAATCGTCTTGGCACTACATGTATGGGCAAAGTCAGTTGGACCACGAAATCGAGATGCTTTACCTCAAGGAGACAATAGTCCCGGTCCTTTACTATCGGGCTCGGCATGCTGAGCGCGAGCCACTTGACGCCAATATAGTTGCGCGGGTGCTCCAGAGTCCGCGGCGCTAGTGTATACAATGACGCGTAGTCGGCAATATCCTTGGAGAAGCGCGAACGATACTGACGGACGGCCTCGGTCGAGTCGAGCTCAAAGAGCGATGCGGCTTCGACAAGCGTGCCTTGAAGCTCCATGACGCCGCATAGCGTAATGTTGACATTGGGCGGTGCTAGAGGGTCGATGCCTGTAAAAATGCGTACGCCGTCCACGTCCGAGTCGAGCGACCACAAGATCGGGCCTCCTTCGAGGCGGGAGCTGCGGACGAGGTCTGTGAGTGACTGCAAGGCCGTCTGAATGAGATGCAGCTCGTCCGCAGGCTCCAGCGGCGGACTCTCGAAGCGCGGATACGCAGCGGGCACCTTCCTTGCCTTGGTCATCGTACACTACAATCACACGCGGAGTCAAGACCAGGTTCGTGTGACACACAACATCGAAGTAGTCAAGAAACTTCGCCGTTCCCGCTTACAATCGCCAAGATAATTACTGCATCCAAACTTCGAGCTACATGACGTGGCACGTGGAAACACGATGCAGCAAGGTTGACAAAAGAGCAACTTCGCGATAGGGATGCTATCACACGACTACAAGTACGCGGGGGGCACTGTGTCTTGCGCATCGAGTTGGAGCTTCTTGAGCTCGTTGCATAAACCTCGAAGCTGCTCGGGCGTCTCAAGACCTTCGAGGGATATACTCGTGAGCGTCGACAACCCGAGAGGGTTCTGTCGAGTGCGAGCTGGTCGCGCTCTTAGACACTTCGTCGTCGCGCTGCCCGAGCGTGAATGGGCGACGCGGCGGTTGCCACTCCTTTCGTCGCATCGGAGTATCACGGACATCACGAGGGCAGTTGTGACCGCTCAGTGCGAATAGTTCGTTCTCGCGACGGAGCGTCGTGAAAGCTGACAAAGGCCAGCAAACCCCGCGCAATCATGGTCATCCATGTGCAAGCGCCATCCAAGACCATTCGAGTCCGGAGCCGCGTGAAACGTGGGTTCTGTTCTGAGACATCGTACTGACGCGATGCTGGCAGGGCATGACTAGTACCGAGCACATACCCCACATGAGACGACTACCGCATAAATTGTGGGGACCTAACAAACGTGCCTTATAAAAGCGAAGAAGAGAAGATTGACTTTCGAAAGACGTCCCAAAAAGCCGAAATCCAAAAGCTCCACTGCAGCCTGCACAAACCTTCTACATAGATCAAACTACTGCGCATGCTATGCGAGAAGACGTCTAGATTCTCCACCGGTCCGATGCCCTACCTAAATGACAAGGATCAACCACCCCCTGCCCCAAGGGGCACGAGGTTAACTCTAGTCAGGCCGTATTTCCTTGATTCTACCAAGGTCATTGATACAGTACATACTATTTGGCGATCGAAAAAGCATTGGATTACGCTGCACTCAACAAAGATTTGCTCGCAGTGCCTCGTGAGCCCACTGCTCTGTCGTAAAGTGTGCAAGAGTGGTGTACTATTGTAGCAAATTACATGGCTGGGAGAAAGTGCGCCGTCATGAGCGTGCCCAGAAACAACACAAAGAGAATTCCGGGCGTGAAGAGGCCCCAGACAGGCCAAAGGCCCAGGATCAAACTACAATCGCATCGAGTGGGGTGCCAAGTAGATCGCGCACATACCCAAGTGCGCCGACGAGACCGACGATGGTCGCAGTGGGGATCATGCGTGGACAGTACACACTCCACTCCAAGTCCACCTTGCGTACATACGGCAGCCAAAGCGCCAGGTACGCCGTGATGCAGCCA